GTAGTAGTAGTAGTAGTAGTAGTAGTAGTAGTAGTAGTAGTAGTAGTAGTAGTAGTAGTAGTAGTAGTAGTAGTAGTAGTAGTAGTCGTCTCCGGCACCTGCCTCTCTCGCCTTGTGCCAGCGGGGCATTTTGATGTACGCAGTTTTGACTCCGGCCGTCGTCGTCGTCGTCGTCGTCGTCGTCGACGTCGTCGTCGTCGTCGTCGTCGCGGTTGGCCTCTCGGGGGCCTCTGGAAAGCTGTTTTGAAGCGTTTCGGGAGCAGCTTTGGGGCCTCATTTGGGCCTCTTGGGGGCCTCTTGGGGCTTCCAGGGGGCCTCTTGGGCGCTTGTCGAGGCCTCTTGGGGGGTTCTTTTTGTTCTCCCCCCTCCGCTTTGCAGCAATACTCATGTCACCTGAGTCTGTCGCTGTATGTCGCAAGTTTGCACGAGCGTACCCGGGGCAACGCAGATCGCAACATGTGGAGGACACACATGATGAACGGTCTACAAGTTCAACAGGCGTAGCGTCGAACTCGGGCTCAAAACTCACTAGTTGTTGATCATAATGTAAAGCGCAAGGGCATTCACGGCGCCGTCCTCGACGTCCGCCTCTGGCTTCCGGGCCTTCGCGTCGGGAGCGCCGACGCAGCACTCGCAGACGCAGGCGAACGTCAGGATGACGACCCCGAGGCAAAACCAGAGCCAGCACAGGTCGATGTACCACTCCCACGCGAACCAATTCAGGAAGACGGGAAAGAAGGTGAACACGCCCGCGGCGAGAATTACAAATATGCCCAACAAGATGCCAGACATGCCATAGTCGCAGCGGCAGTTGATGGGGCACGCCACGCTCGCCTCAGGCGGCCGCGTCCAGTGCCGAAGCGCGCGGGGAGCACGAGCCCAAAAGTCGAAGCTGTCGAGCCACGATTGAGCCAAAATGGCTTGAGCCAAAATGGCTACGGAGGCTTCTTGGGGGCTTCTTGGGGCCTTCTGCGGGCCTTTTAGGGCGGGAAGCTGAATTTTCGGTTCGTGGTCCCTCTCTTGGGCCTCTCTTGGGCCGTCTTGGGCCTCTCCTGGGCCGTCTTAGGGGCCTCTTGGGCGGTCTTGGGGCAATCTTGGAAGCCTCTGCTATGGCCGTTGCACATCTCCAGGGGTCGTCTTGGAGCCGTCTTGGTGCCCTCACGGAACCATCTCGGAGCCTCCTGGGAGCCTCTTTGTGCCCCAAGGGAGCTTAAAGGAACCCAAGAGCGTTCGAAGAGGGCCTCAAATAGGGTGCGCAATTGCGCACCGTCAGACGTCTTCTCGGTACGAATGCACCCCTGTGCCTGTATACACATCCAGCATGTACATCGCTGTGCCTGCGTACACCACAAAGCCCGTGTACACCTCCAGGGCACGGCCCCATACCCCCGTTGCCTGCGCGGACAACAGTAATTATTTTTGCGTACGACAATGCTGGACACCACCGCGCCTGTGTGCACCACAATTGCCGCCGCAGCCGGCGTGTGCGCCACGCACGCCGAACAGCTCGTTGTTTCCACTGCTGGGTGTGCCGCCGCGCCTGCGTGGGTGTTACATCAGCCTGCGCGCGCCGCGCGCCTCTACATACCACAAGCACATGCCTGCGCACGCTGCAAACACGTTGCGCGCGCACTACGCACAGCATACCTGTGCGCTAAACAACACGCGCTGCTGCAACGGGGGTGGGTGGGGCGGCGGGCGTTATGTTATCTACTGGGTGGGTGGGTGGGTTGGAGGCCACATAACGCGCGTTATGTGTTCGAGTATAAAAACTTGATCTCGAGGAGGAGGAGGAGGAGGAGGAGGAGGAGAGGAGGAGGAGGAGGAGGAGGAGGAGGAGGAGGAGGAGACCAGAGGAGGAGCAGGAAGACGAGGAGCAGAACGGGGCTCGACTACGCGCAAGACTGACCCTACTCGGCCAAGGGCCACCTCCGGTGCGCGGCTTGCCGATCGTTGCATGCGATGCCACGCTGTAGCTGCTTGCAGGCTTGGGTCCGCCCCCCCCCCCGCGCGCCCCCCGACGGCCGCGCACTGCACTTCGCGGCGGAGTGTGCGCGCAACCGTCCGGCATGGTGAGAAACCACGCCCGGAGGCGCGGGCCCCGTCTCTCTCTGCGGCGTCCCTCGAGCTGGACCGACCTCTGCGAGAGCCCCGCTGGCCCGCGTCCGGGCGACGGCGCCCGGAGCGACAGAGAACGCGACGCCAGGACCTCAGGGACGCCGAGGGCCGCCGAGGGCGGCCGAGGGCCGCCGAGGGCCGCCGAGGGCCACCCAAGGGAGGACAGCCAGCCGAGCGCACCCTCGGCTCGCCCACGCCGACGCCCCTGGGCGCGCCGCCCGCCTCACTCGAGCAGCACCAGGTACCGCCTGCCCTCGGCCTCCAGCGCCCAGAGCTCCAGCGCGCGGTGGCTCGCGCCCAGCGCCTCCTCCCCGAGGGCGCCGAGCGCCTCGAGGAACTCCGGTGGCTGCCGCTTCTGCGCCGCCAGCGCGCCCGCCGCGGGGAAGCGCAGGTGCAGCGTCAGCGCCGACGCGGACATGGGCGAGGGGCAGCGGTGGGGGGGGGGGCATCAGCTCAGGCGGGGAGGGGAAGATGGGATCGGCGATGCAGCGGTGCACCGCCGATAGATCGGCGGCAGGCCCCCGATTGCGAACCCGCTTGGTCCTGGGCGGGGTGGGCTGTCTCGGCGACGAGTGGGCGATGGCGGGTCGATGCATCCCCCCCTTGATCCTCCCCCCCTATCGTTGCCCCTGAATGGGAGAGAGCAGCCTCTCGAGCACCTGGCAGCAGAGAGCCGCGGCCGCCGCGGCGCCCAAGGAAGTGCTGGCCCTTCGCGCCACGCGCGTGACTGGCCGCAGCTGCCCGACGCCCAGCAAGAGCGTCTCCAGGGACCCGCCCGGGCTCGGCTTAGGCGGCCCGGCCTCTGCGCCCGCGGCCACCTCCTCGCCAGGCAGCCTCAGCAGCATCGCGTCCAGCAGCAGCGCCGACCAGCGCTCCTCTGGGGGCCTGAAGCGGAACAGCAGCTCCGCCACCCGCGCCACCGCCGAGCTGCGGCGCTCCTCGCTCGCCGCGGCCTCGGGGAAGCAGAGGCCCACGACGGCGTCGCAGAGGCCGTCCTCGTCCCCTGACACCTCGAGCAGCACGGCGCCGCCGCGCGCCTCATCGGCGTCGCCCGGCGCCTCCGCGGAGCCCTCGCGGCAGCCCGCGCACCCGCTGCACAGGTCGAGCAGCTCGCGCGCCGCGCCGAAGAGCAGCGGCGCGTGCGCCATCGACTCCAGGTGGCTCAGGGCCAGCAGGGGCCTCTCGCGCGGCGCGGGGGCGTCCTGCAGCAGGCACCCGCCCTCCAGCGCGGAGCACACGCGCTCCGCGACGGAGGCCTCCGCCGTCGCCAGGAAGGGCCTCGACGCCAGCGCCAGCCGGGCGCAGTCGGCGCTCCCGAGCGCCGCCGCGGCGCCCAGGCGGAGCGCCTCGACCAGCCGCCGCGACTCCCCCGACAGCGCTACGGCCGCCCTCTCCGCCAGGTCCGCGGACCGGAACGCCACCTGTGCCGCCGGGGGCTCCCGCCGGCCCGGCCGGCACCCCGCCGCCAGGCCGCCCGCCAACGCGCGGGCTCCGGCCGCTGCTGCAACCGTGCGGGCGTGCTTGCGGCCCATCAGGAGGGGGCAGAGAGAGCGAGGTGGAGGGGGAGCGAGAGGAAGAACTCTCCGAGGTCTCGGAGCTCACGGACGCTGGCTGCCGGCGTGGCCCCCAACGGAAAACGCTCTTGCGCTCCCGACGGTGCAAGCGAGGCAGCATCGGCAATACCGAAGCAGTAGCATTGGTAGTGCTGGTGGTACTACTGCTAGCAGTCATGGCATAAGGCATAAGTGGTACGGGTGAAGCAGCACTGGCCAGGACCCGGAACTCGCAACAAAAGCCAGCGGGGCCCTTGAGACCTCATGGACGGCGACCGGGACATCGCGCCAGCGAGAACCAACTCATGCCGAACCACGTGATGGCTCGCCCTCTCTGAGGTAGGCACTGCCTCAGACCCCCGACGTCGTGTTTTTGTTTCCCAACGTCGACCCCCAGGGGTCTGGATCATCGATCCCTTCCCCGGGACCGCTTTTTCATTCTCGAATCGTCTGTCGACGATCCCGAGGCCCGGTACGGGCCCCCGGAGGCTGAAAATAGCGAGAAGCCCCCCGTCGTGATTTCTGCCACGACAGGGCGAGGAAGTCTGGGGCCACGGAGAACGGACAAGTCTGCCTGGCGAGGGGCCCCATCCTGCGCAGCTGCGCGCGGCGCAGGGCATGGGGCCCTCCCTGCGCTCACTGCCCGCCGCGGGGCGGTGCGGCCGGGGGAGCTCCGGAGAAGAAGCGCGGAGGCGCCCGGGGCGCTCCTGCGGGCCACGATCGGGTGCCGAAGGGGTGCGGCGACGTCGGCCGATCTGGGGGCCCACCGGGGCGGGGGCTGTAGAGCTCCCCGTGAGGGCGCGACCCCAGTGAGGGGTGCCGAAGTCGGCGGGGGAGCACACGCGGACCCTCCCAGCAGGGCCGGGCATGGAGCTCCCTGCTGTGGGGCAAGATCTCCGCGAGGGGTGCGCCGAGATCGGCGGGAAGACTCGTGTGGAGCCTCCCATATGGGGCCGTGTAAGGGACTCACGTGGAGCACGATCCTCGTGGGGGGGCGCCGAGATCGGCGGGAGGGCGCACGTGGATTCCCCCAGAATGCAAGCGTACATGGAGCTCCGCGTCAATCCTCGTTGGAGGAGAGAGAGAGAGAGAGAGGAGAGGGAGACAGAGAGAGAGAGAGGTAGGCCCAAAATGTACGAGAGGTGCTGCAGCAATACATTCTCCCGTCCAGGGCCCCCTCTGAAGCAGACCCCACAAAGATGCTTCGTGGCTGCGCGAAGCAAACCCCCTTGGAAAGACGAGCGCCGCGTGGGCCCGCAGTTCGGGCAGGAACCCCGTTCTCTGCAAGGAGGTTGCCGCCGTCCTTCAAGCGAAGCACGAGGCATGCGACGAGGTGGAATCATCAGCCTGAGGCAGCACATGTCGAATAATCCTCAAGCCCCGCTTTGAAAAGGAGCCACCTACATCCGTGTATTCACTGACATGCTTAGAATGGCAACACGCGGCGCCAAGGCGAAAATCCGATTAGAAAGAAGAACCACCCTCCATCCGCGTAACTGATTGCAAACCTTGATGTGAGTGTGCATGGCGCCAGAGCGAGTCCCAGGAGAAAACGACCTGCCCCCCCGTCGGTGTACAGTCCTTGTTTCCTCTGATCGCGTCGTTCCGCTAGGAGAAGGGCCCAAGGACGCCCCATCCAGCGGCCGTTTCGCCTGAGACTTCCTCAGTGTACTCTGGAATCGAGCTCACGCCTCAATGCTGGCTACATGTTTGTTCCAGACGGCCACGATCCCTTGTAGAGAACACTACGGTGCACATGGCCGCGCTTTCGACTCAATGGCCGCGCTCTGGACGGCGACGCTACGTTGCAAATCATACACGCTACATGCTCTCAGCGGCGACGCTACGTTGCAAAGCACATGGCCGTGCTACATGCTTGATCCAAACGGTCACGATCCCGTCTGAAAAAACACAACAAAAGCACATGACCGTGCGACCAATGACGGCTACCTGTTTGGTCTGGACGGCCCCGACTCCGTGTAAGAAACGCACTGAGAGATCGTGTTTTCTTGAATCGGCGATAACCGGGGTGATCCAGGGGGGGGGGAGAAGGGGGCCGGCCGATAACCTCACCTTCGCGCTGTGGGCAGCCCTGCGTATGCCCGCGCCCCCCCCACCCTGGACCTGCACAACTGGCAAGGTTAGGTCATCCTGGGGGGGGGAGGGGGGCAAGCCCGATCACCCGGGTCACGGGTGCTTTGCTGGGGCAGTCCCCAGGAAGGAGCGCAACGCTGAAGCAGGAACCCCTCGGTCTCGAAAGCGGCCTGCCCTCGTGCGCGCAGCGCTGCCCGTCGGTCGGAAGAGGTGGGTGAAAACATGGAGCAGGAGGGCGGACAAGGAAGATTGGGCCCGGGCCCTCCCACAGAATAACACGACGCACCAAAAGCACATCGACTCTGAGAAGTAGGAAGGCGCTTGAAGCCAATCGGGGGCTTGGGAATCCAAAATTACCTCCCTTCACCGACCGGCGTGTACGGAGAGCAACCGAGGCACTCACAACACAGGCTGGTTTTAGGTCGGGCATGTCCCCCCACAGGCGGACTTTGGACGACCAATAAACAAGACTCAAAAAGTAATCAAACAAATTGACAAAAACAATCGTGACATCGTCCCCAGACTATGTTTGACTACTTTCGAATATTCATCCTGCAGAGGGGCTCGCCCGACTTCCCAATCGATTGGGGGCCTGGGAATCCAGACACACCTCATTTCAGCGACCGGCGTGCACGGAGAGCAACCGAGGCCCTCACAACACAGGAGGGTTGGGAACGCACGTCGGTCCCACGGGAGGAGCGGGCGGTGGGCCCCTGGACCCTCGCTGCGCGCGGGGCGCTCTCGGGGAAGACGCGGAGAGGCCAGCAGCTGCCCTCTGGACTCCGTCCGCTGCGCTGCCGATGCCCGAGCTTGGAAGTGGAGGCAGCAGACGCCGGGGGAGAGTGCGAACGAGAAAGCGCGCACAAGAGAGAGAAGGAGAGAGAGAGAGAGAGAGAGAACGAACAAAACAAACAAACAAACAAACAAAAAGCAACTGGCAACCAAAAAAAACGCGCGCCGGCAGAGGGCGGGCCAGCGCCGAGCCAAGATGTGAACGGAGGGCGAGCGCGAGGACGCGGACGAGGACAGGGCGACGAGGACAGGGCGACGAGGACAGGGCGACGAGGACAGGGCGACGAGGACAGACGAGGACGACGAGGACGACAGCGAGACGAGGGACGAAGGAGAGGGAGGGAGCCCGGCAGGGAGGACCAGCACGAGGATGGTGCGGACAGGTGTGGCAGAAGGACGGAGCGATCGGGAGGACCGGAGGGGAGGGTGTGCAGAACAAGGGCGGCGGATGGCTGTGGGGACGGGATGGGGGAGGAGAAGGGAGGAGGAGCCAGGGTGAAGAGAAGATGCGAAGATGGGCGGAAGGGAACATCGGGAAACATGAAAGTGCGCTTGACACTGTTCGAAGCCAGGGGTCCCGGATTGCGCGTGCATCTTTCCAGCGAACGAGTTTTGAGAAGGCGGTATGATCACCACCTCGCCTGCAATGCGCTTCAGACTGCATGATTGCGGCATGCCGCTAAATACAACGATGCAAAATGTTAAAACCCACGCAAACACTGGGTATGACGAGCTTTGGTTGAATGCGTGGAATTGGTGAGGGTATGCCCGCTCGAAAAGGAAGACTCTTAGACATCGTTCGAAGACTATGAAGTCCAATGCCACCACGATTTGGATGTGTGCGCGCTGGTCCCATTACGATCTCTAGGCGGACAAACGCGGCGGTGTGATGAAACAACGGACTGGTTCCGTGCTACTGCGATGTTCAAATACTTTCGCAAGGGAGCGGAACAAAAAACAACAAAAACACACAACCAATCGCCTCAAACCGCCACCGCGCCTCTAACACGCAATGGAACAAATTCAGACCCCTCATGGTCGCTATCGTTCAATCTCGGTAGAAGAGAAGCGGGGATGCCCCTCAAAACCAGGCGCCCCCGATTCACGAGCATTCCTGGCCGTTCCCTACCCCTCACGGGCGATCCTGGGATTTCGCGCTGAAGACTTGCATCTCCATCGTGACCGCCGATGGCCCCAACATTGTAGCCTTCAAGACCTTCTTGCAAGCCCTCGACGGGTCGGCTGGAAAGACCCCACAACGTTAAGCGATTGAAAACGTTTGAGCGACTTTGCCATTCTAACATTCTGGGTCCTACACGCACCCGGTCTAGCCAAGAACGCACCCAGGATCACCGTGAAATCGCCTCCGAAGTACCAAAAACGGGCACAGGACGCCCTCAGGGACACCAAACCCGAAACGCGCCGATAGCGGATCGCGGGAACATGGCCGAATATTGCGACTGCCCATGGCGAGATGAAAATTGGCATATCAATTGCTGGTTTGCCAAGTGGGCCAAAGAAAACATGCGCACCAACATGCAAACGTCATCCCGAACGGGATCCAAAATAGGGATCCAAAATACACGAACGAAGAAACAGGAGAGCGGAAGAGAGATGGTGGATCCACATCCATGGCAACCTGTGCTCTCCTCCATGATATCCTACCCTTCGTTATCTCCGCCTCATATCACCCTTCGCTCCTCCGAAATCTCCCCCCCTTTCCATTACTCCCGTTATTTGCCTCATTGTCCCCCCATTTCGTCCAAACATATTTTGTTTTGTGTGCTCTGGAAATTCCACCCCGTCCCCTTCGCACACCCCCTGGTTTGTGGGTCTGGTCCCAGATTCCCAGCAAACGGGGCCACAAACGACGGGGAATCCTGACCGCACTTCCCACGCAACGTACAACGACTGCCAAAAACACCGGGAATTACGCGCTTCTGGGTTGCACGGGACAAGTCTGAGGCAGCAGTTGCACCCCGAAGGGTCGATGTACAACTACAGGATGCGTGGCGACGCCTGAAGCCTGCCGACACGGGACCTCGCGAATTCCTTGCCCGTCTTCCCAAGCCAAACCAAAAGGCGTGGGGCAAAGGGTCGGGACTTCCCCCGCCCCCAGGGGCAACCACTTGGAAAATCCGGCACGGCATCACTTAACGCGGGGCCGAAACACGAAATCGGACCCCGAGGCCCGCGAGCCAATCCGCGCAATTGTCTCCCACGGCCGTTCCCCTC